TCGATGTGATACTCTTTGGTTCTATTCGGTAAAGTCACGTTAAAAAAATCACGACGTTTCGGCCACAACACAAGTGGCCTTCATCAGGTGAAGGGAGCAGACTGTCTAGAGGACAGCGCTGGAGTGAACACAGCCAAGCTCAGACCGCGACCTTTAAGCTGTGTGAGAGGAAGCAGAGCGCCTTGACAAAGGAATTAGCATAAAAAATAGCATTTAATTGGCGGACTTAGCATGATGAACGATGTACAGGGGGGGAGCAAGTGCAGACCGGCAGGGGGGGAGGGGAGGGGGGAGTTTACATATTGATGGTGTGAAAAGGGAATTTGAGCTGCTGCGAAAGTTTGGGATGCCACTACTTGAAAAAATATAATGTACCATTGAAAATTAGTTTAATGTTTGGTTTGATTCAGAACATCTTTCCAATGGTTGCTTAATTTGAAACCATCCTCTCGGTTGAAATTGTGTCTGTGTTTGTAAATCTTTTTTTACGTGACTTTACCGAATAGAACCAAAGAGTATGGATCCTTGCAGTCACGAAAGCTTTAAATCTAGAATCAATGTGATCTTCAAAATTCAGTTTTGAATCCAGGATGGCCCCAATATACTTATAGATCTTGACTTGCTCTATTTGATAATTATTTAAGGAATGTAATTGGGGAAAACTAACTTCCTGCTTTATTCCTGGTGAAAAGCATAGCACCTTGGTTTTGGAGGTATTCAGGACTAGTTTAAGAGCAACTAGCTGATGTTGTAGTTTGTTGAAATCACCCTGTAGCTTAGCAATCACGTCATCCGGAGAGCGGCCAGCAGTAATCAGTATCGTGTCATTTGCAATAAGACTTACCCTGCAATGATCCAGGTCAGTGCCCAAGTCATTGACATAAAGAGAGAACAAAAGGGGGCCGAGGATGGAACCCTGTGGAACCCCTTTTGTTATCTTAGCACTGTTTGACCTCCAACCATCTGTGAATACAGTTTGGGTGCGAGAAAAGAGGTAATTTTGTAACCATTTTACTGCGTTTTCGGAAAAACCGAGGCAACTTAGTTTACTAAGCAGGGTGTTGTGGTCTACTGTATCAAAAGCTTTGGACAGGTCTAGAAAAAGACAGGCACAGTACTGCTTATTATCAAGGCTACTGTAAATGTGATTCAGAGAGTCTAATGCAGCAGATGTGGTGCTGTATTTTTTTCGGAACCCAGATTGTTTTAGATGTAATAGATTGTTGGTGGACAGGAAACTGCTAATTTGGTAGGTCAATAATTTTTCAAAATTTTTCATCAATGGGGACAAAATTGAGATAGGTCGGTAGTTATTTGGATCATCTTTAGGGCTCCCTTTGTGAAGTGGACGGACATACGAATGTTTCCATTCTAGAGGAACTGATGCTTCTTTGATGGGCATGTTGAAAATATGGGCTATAGGTTTGTATATTAGGTGACCAACAGTTAGTAGAGCAAAGACGGGAATACTATCTGCTCCGGTAGAGGAGGACCCTTTGAGGTAGGACAGTTGTTTCAGAACATTACTTTCGTGGATTGGCTGGGAACTAAATTTGTTTAATGTTTGGACAGGGGTGTAGGAATTTGCATGAGCAGGGGTCACTCCCAATATATTATCAAAAAGATTACCAGCTTCAGAAAAATGAAGGTTAAAATTGTTAACTATTTTTTTGGGATCTGAAAAATATTCCCCATTTCGGTTAAGCTCAATGGGCAGATTGTCTGTTTTGGATGCCTTTTCGATACATTTGATTTTTTCCAGAAATTCCTAGCATTTCCTTGTGATTCCAGGAGAGTGGAGGAAAAGTAGGCATTTTTTGCATGCCGTATTTTTTTGACACATCTATTCCTTAAAATCCTGTATTCTAGCCAGTCATTGACCAAATTACTTTTCTAAGCACATGTCCAAGCCTTGTCCCTAGTTTTCATGAGCTTTGTAATCAAAGGATCAAACCATGGTGGGCAGTTGCCTTTAGTTTAAAATCTAAACAATAGAGCATGTTTGTTAAGAATTTGGAGAAACGTGTACCTGAAGGTCTCCCAAGCCATAGTCAGGTTGGGGATATCACAGACCTTGTCAATATCCGAGTGAAGCACATCATTAGTAAATGCCTAAGTGCTGAAGTGTATCATAGAGTGCTTCTCAACCAATTTAGGGGGGGGGGGGCTTTGGGTCTGGCTGATGATCTCACCCCAAAAATGAAGGAGTGATCACTAAGGTTATTACCCAGAACACCAGTCAGTGTGAAATTGTGAGGGGCATTTGTCAATAGGACGTCAAGCAGATGATGACTGTCCCGGATTTTTTAGGTTGGGTCTTGTGGGGACATTTATTAATTGGAACAGATTAAATTCATCTGCAAAATTTGTGGCCACGGCCGGCGGGTTTAGCCAATTCCAATTTAGATCACCCACTAAAACTATTTCACCTTTAGGGAGGCCCCCAAAAAGCTCTCTCAGTGCAGATGCAGCTTCAACATCCTTCCGACTAGGCGGTCGATAGCAGCACACTACCAATATCTGTTGATTATTTGGGAGAGTTATTCTGAGAGCCAGACCTTCAAAGCAACATTTTTTAAACAAGGAGTGAGCTAGTGAACATGCAATAGTATTACGAACATAGATGGCAATTCCACCTCCTTTAGATCCTCGGTCAAGCCGAAAAAGGTTGTAGTTGTCAATCGCAATCTGCAAGTCATTGACGGCAGGAGTGAGAAATGTTTCTGTTAGGCAAAAAATATCCGGGTCAAGATTTGTCACTTCTAGTTTTAGTCGACTTAATTTAACCACAAGCCCTCTGATGTTGACACGTAGAACACCAACACCTTTCCTGCCAGAAAAATCTACAGAATTATACGAGTTCTTTTCATTTAAGCCAGGATGACGTTCAATACCACCCAGAAATAAGAAAAGTAGAATTAATAGTTTGCACAAGTATTTTCTGTGAAAGGATGAAGAGCGGCGAACCTTGGACGAATAGCAGTAGCTCGCAGATGGTGTTATTTTTAAGAGCAGAATGAAGTTTGGAAGGAGTGCTGGTGAAGTAATGGGACAAAGATAGGGTTTAAAAGGATACAATGATGGAGTGTATAAGTGTCTATGAGCTGTTTCATTAGCAGGTGTAGTGGCAAATCGAGCAACAAGTATGGACGCACGAGGCTTCCACACCTCAGACTAGCGCGGTTGGCTACGTACGGTGCGAAAGAAGGTCAACATACATACATACATACCACAACCAGGCCAAATATGTGCAGTCTATACCATTGCTTTGGCTAATAATTCCAATTATAATAGTAGTAATAATAATGAAATCTGTAAATGACAAGAAAACCTCATTGTAAAAAAATACTAGTGCAGGCTGGGAAAATAATACGTTTCAAACAATGTGCAAAAACATGTAAAAAAAACACTTAACTTTTGTGCTTTCATGCAAAAAAACCCCAACAGCAGCAGTTTGCAAAGAAGTGCACTGTGGTCCTGCTATCAAAAATAAATGTGAGTAAATGTGACCGACTGAGGCTGGCAGCAGTGATCTAGTGATAGACAACTGTGAACCGGTTAGATTTGATTATTGTTGGCATGAGCCTAGCCAATTGGTCCTATAGTGTGAACTCCGCATGGATGGTTTCCATAGGCAGTCTTTACTGCAGTGAGCGTTGGTGACCTGAACTGTGCTGATGGATGTACTGTATGTGAATTTCTTTCGCACCGTACGTAGCCAACCGAGCTTGTCGGAGGTGCGGGGGAAGGACAACAAACGCAAACCTGTCAACCCCTTATCAATGCCGACCTTATTACAGACCAATTCAGACCTTCATGGTCACCCCGTGCCCTTATAAATCTCAACGTGCATCCTACAAAGTCGCAACACAAGGCAGAAACAAACAGACAACAAATGCTCGCCCATATTGAAACGTCTGTACGCCCTATGGACCTGAAAACTCAATTTCCCTGTACAAGAATACGGGTAAACCGCATGGGTTGACACGGTATGCAAACTAAACACAAGACGCAGTTCTAAAGAAATGCCTTTTCAATCTATATGTTAAAGTGCAATTGGTTGCCTATCGCTGTATCACACTTGCTCTGCCCGTAGATCTTCACATTTTGCTCAAATTAAGTTTAATGTTGACCCACACCTCTCTTTTTGGTGACCTCCACCAAGCAGCTGGGGGGCGGTAGGGGGGGGGAGGCATTGCATATAACCCCGCCCCTCCAAACAGCCAAGGGGGCTGGGCTCAATGCAAGGGGGCGTGGCTCGGCGTGGTAGCCACACCCCTCAAGCACCCGGGGAGAGAGGTTGGCCTGAGAGCGGGGTAGGGGAGGTAGGTTGGTCCGGCGGGGGTGTAGGGGGGGTAGAGGGGGGAGTGGGGGTAGGGGGTAGTGGTCAGCGCACTGCGCTACGAACCCGGCCTCCCCGAGTTCGACTCCCGCTCACGCCCACCAACGCCAGCGACGATTTATATATGAACCGGCCCCCGGGCCTCCCCTAGGTCGACTCAGCCTGAAATGAGTTTCGTGGTGCGAGTGTGTAAACGTCGCCACTGGGGGAGACAAAGGCGGCTGGGCGTGCTTGCTGTCCAGCCCCACAACCCCCCCCCCCCCCCGTGTGCCGGGCCCCTTCAATCGGTTTGCTCCTCGCTAACAGCACTTGCCCCCAACAGTCTGCGCAGGCTACACGGGGGATCTTTGTCTTTGGGGTAGTGGTGGGAGGGGCGGGGCGGTAGTGGTGGGAGGGGCGGGGCGGTAGTGGTGGGAGGGGCGGGACGGTAGTGGTGGGAGGGGCGGGACGGTAGTGATGGGAGGGGCGGTAGCGCAGCCAGGGGCGGGGGGGGGGTTAGTAGTGGGAGGGGCGGGGCGGTAGTGGTGGGAGGGACGGGGGGGGGGTTAGTGGTGGGAGAGGCGGGGCGGTAGTGGGTGGAGGGGCGGGGCGGTAGTGGGTGGAGGGGCGGGGCGGGGCGGGGGTTGTTGCGGGGCGGGGCTGCCCCGCTCAGCTGGGAGAGGCGGCGCGCGCTCCGGATGAGTGCGCACGGGGCGGAGGGGTTCGGGAGCAGTGGGCAACCGTCAGCTGCGCGCGCGAGCCGCTCGTATATAACCACCGTCCTCCCCTCTGCCGTTGTCGCACACTCGCGCGCGCACTCACGTGCAGATCTCTCACGCCACACGTGCAGATCTCTCACGCGCGCCACACGTGCAGATCTCTCACGCACGCCGCACGTGCAGATCTCTCACGCACGCCGCACGTGTAGATCTCACAGCGCGTTCGCAAAGGAAACAGGCGCCGACCGTAGCGACTGAACCCGCGTCTTGAAGTGTAAATACGAGTGCTACCCCGCTGCAGTCTGTTTGCACATTTCTATATATATATTTTTTTTTTCAGCGAAGTTATTTGTTGGGTTCGTGCATATTCAATTACATCAGCACTGCTTTATTAGCGGCATTACTTCTTCTTCTTAGTCGTCAAGCGCAAGCTTTGAGCGGAGTTCACGGCGTCACTTTTGGCGGTGTTGAGTCAAGAGCCGGCAGTGTTAGCAGCAGCGGCAGCGGCCACCGGTGAAATGAGTAAGAACCACTCCGAACTTGAGACCTGCCTGGTGGTGAGCAGCCCCCACGAGGACGAGGTATGTTGTGAACGCTTGGTGGTCACGAAGTGCTGCTGCTGCTGATGTTGTTGTTGTTCGTGATGATTGTGGTGGTGACGATTGATGATGGATGCAAGCGCCGTCGAACCGTGCCACCCGGGAACTTGAGAGTTCCCTTAAAGCCGTGGACTCCGGTGTAAGAGACGGACTCAATTGTAATTGTGTCCCCCTTTGTAAATTACGATTGAGATATTCGCAGTCGCATACATTTACGTGCTTTAGTTAAAATACGCAACTTGGCCATTCTAAAAACCGACCACCCTAATGCCCTTTCAATGAATATAGCCACACCTGTGTTGCTGTTGTGTTTCAATTGCCAGATCACTTGAAAAGAGTCGCAAATAGATGAGAATGACTACCACCAATTTGTTAGACTGCACCACATTTGTAGGGAGGAAGTGGGTCAGTGTTTGTCTACGGTCGACACTGGCTCCCCGCTATAGACACGTGGAATTGTGGTCATTGGCTCAGGTTCGCCAAAGTTAGAGAAGCTTTGCCCACAGTGACTTTACTCTGTATATGAGGAAGCAAATAACGGGATGCCTGCCGTTAAACCAGCGGGGAATGGAAACTTACATGACTCTTAATATATTTTCGGTGGCTTTGAAAGTGCATTGGTATGAGAAGTGAATATGAAAATAAGTGCAAAAAAATAGTTCCCCACTGTGTTTAAAAACTGTGTTGTTTGTTTCTCTCGTAAAGACTGATTGTGTATCGAGATTTTGCATATTTTTTGGGGAAAGTTATCTGCGCACACCGAAGTTTTAAAAATACATTTGTGAAAAGCGAATGATTTATGGTGAGCCAGAGATCTTAACGTGTAATGTGCACATGACTTATGTGAAATGTAGTATTAATGTTTGCCACTTGCAACACTTTTTTATTATCTCATAAAACAGCTGAAGGGAGAAGAGCTATAAAAACTAAATGTGACATCTCATAACCTTCGCACAGCGGAGCATTTCGGTCTTGCAACATCAGCAAACAGTAAATAAAAAGTAGTGCCTTAGACGTTCCGTGTAATTTTTCTCTCTCCCTTGAATGGAGTTTTTTATCGGACCATTTCAGTCCAGTTTGCGCCAATTTCTGCTCATTAGTCAGACTACAGCTGTTCCACAATGTATGTATGTTGAACTTCTTTCGCACCTTACGTAGCCAACCGTGCTAATCGGAGGTGCGGGTGAATGGCAACATGCTTAACACAAAAAAAGCAGTTTTAACGAAATGAGTTCTCAATTCAATATCGGAAGGAAGAGCGTTCCAGACGGCCGAAGAGAAGCGCACGTGATCGCGCGCAGTGCATTCATTGTGTACGCCAGTACCCACAATATAGATAACCAAAGTGTGTGTGTGGTGTACATTATGAAGCAGGTATTGGCAGGTTTGCTCTACTATTAACATAGTCCGATGTGCGGCAAGTGAAGATTGTATTTCCTTCCATAGCACTTGGCTCACATTTTTATTGGGCAAGTTAAACGTTTCAAATAATTGCATTTGTATTCCTGCATTTGGGTACATTCGCTTTGTAACCAGGTGCATTTGCAATTTCAAAATGACCACAGAATATTAAATAATGTAATGCCATAAGCTCTCCGATGAGTTTTGGGCTTTTGCACTGCCCGTTGTCGGGCATGCAACTCGACATTTCGCTCCACGTTCCTGAATAATCCTCCAGCCACTTGGAGCGAAACGCCAGACATCATCCCAAACAACCCGAAAACACATCGGAGAGCTGTCAAATGACCTTTCCCACTTGTAGACTCTACGATGGCAATCAGCCGTGAGGCATTTCAAACTTTTGACCGTCCCCAACATTGGGAGTATAAGATTCATGCATTAACGTGCACAGTTCCCGCAATGGGTCTTTCCCAAGTTAAGACTCGTACTGTGATTGTGCTGCCTGCTTGTATCGTCGGCGTCACGACTACTCGGAAGACACCGCTGTTTGGTGCTGATTTCCTCTCTTCCTCCTTTATCTTGAGAGGTCACCATTTGTGTAAATAGCCCGAGACATTCTGTAAGCAATGCCTCCGAGATTAAGTGAAACAAAGGGAAACGAGTATAAAGCCACGAGATCCAAGATCCGCTAAACAGAACGACATTTGTTCCAACAATTTCAAGCGTATTCTTAGTTTATTTTTTAATTTCCAGTTAATAACAGCTTGAGTCATCATTTCTTTTGAAACATCAGCTGATAGAATAACAACGCAAGCGCCTGGTTTTTGTTACTAAGCATGATACCAAATATATTTCATATGTGGGGGTCATTAATATTCCAGCGCAACTGCATAGGGCTTTGCTTCCAAAGCTCTACACATAATGTTCCAAATTAAGCAAATAGGTTCTTGTTACATAATAACATAATTTGAGAAAATGTAAAAATAAACGTAGCAAATTGGTCTATTTTATTTCGGAAATGTTACAGTGAATGTTTTACTCCTGTTTTGTAAATGTAAAATTAGGTTTAGCGCAAGGTAACGTAACATGTAAAAGGGTGAAGTCACTACCGTAGTGGCAAATAATGTTATTGGTAGAGCAGTGGTGTTTGTTACTGAAAGTAAGTCATCTTTCCTTTCACATTTATTTAATTGGTATTTAATCCTCTTAAAATAAAGGCACTACTTCATACGTACACACCCAAGTATATTAAGCATGTATAGTGCATTTAAACTTGTATTTACATTTATGGGCTTGGTATAAATTAATGGGCTCCTATTTTAATATGTATGATGTCACTAATGTGCTATCATAAAATCACTTCCTGGCATGGTACGCAAACTGATGCTTGAATGCACCGGTTTCAGAAATGACCATTTTGCAAGAATTTCAGGTATGCATCTAAAACCCTGAACAAGCACACAATGAGCATTACACATCTGCATGGTTTACAGTTCAAGTCACAACATTCCATTAAATATACGCACACATAGACCAATTCATGGAGCATAGTTTCATAAAGAGTTGGGGGTTTCGGACCAAAAGAAGTCAAGTATATGCATATATCCTGTTAACAATGTTATCGATATGCTATGAACTCTATATGCTATATGCTATATGTGTGTCAAAGACCTGGCCATGTAGGCGCAGTGGTACAAGGACTTGTCTTAAAATTAGAAAGTTAAATAATAATGTAATACTCTTTTGATTCTTTCGGTAACGTCTCCTAGGTAGAAAAAAGAAATAATAAATTACGACGTTTCGATCTGCTGAACTTGTTCAGCAGTTCTACGGCTGTGTCTTTCTACCTGATGACGATTGCTTGTGTTGCGATCGAAACGTCGTAATTTATTATTGATTTTTTTCTACCTACGTGACTTTACCGAAAGAACCAAAGAGTATGGATTCATTGCAGTCACGAAAACTTCAAATCTATATTAAATAATGAGACGTTAACTTCGCCTGGTGTACAAAAGGTCGTGGGTTCAACCCTGACCCTGACTCCTGTATATTTTGAGTTTGCATCTTCCCGCCGTGGTCGCATGGATTTTTATACGTATCCGGTTTTTCTCTCCACATTTAGAAACATGCGTTTAGAGTATTTGGCTGCTATAAATTTCCACACGATAAGCCACTTCGTTGGCGCTATCGTTTGTAGCCAGGTAACGTCTGAAAAAGAGCTATATAGCTCAGGGGGCCTAGCCTGGTAAATAAAAAATAGTTTAGTTTGTATGTTGAACTTCTTTTGCACCGTACGTGGCCAACCGTCCTAATCGGAGGTGCGAGTTTGAAGGCCTCCCTATACTGTGCCGCTCATGAAGATTAATGCTGCTGGTTCGTGTGGGCTGGTAAAGGAGGTGCCCAGTACTGGTTCAGATTTCACTCGCCACTGATATTAATCGTGGTAAGGAATTACTGAGTTCATAGCAGGCTGCGCTAATCACTGCACCACCACTCCACCCCGTAATTAGAGAGTTGCGAATTTGAATACTGCAGTTTGGCGCGGCTTATCCCTGGAAGATCAGTAAAATTGCTATCCCACGGAGGGGTACTCTGTGGGATGGCAGTGGTAGTTCAAGTTCATGTTTATTTTGTCTAACCAGGTGAGAACTCAAGAGACCAGACCAGGATAGCTTTCTCGTTTGCAAAAGTGACCTGAGAAAAAAAAAACTTAATTAAAAAGGAAAACAAAGTACAGTCGTCCTCTTAATGGGAATGTCGAGTTTACACCACTGACTTAGGACCATCAACAAATATGCTGACGCTCGCTTAGGCAGCGAGACACTTTGACTTTTAACTTTCTGCACGAAAGCCTTTTGAGAATGGGAAACAGTTACAACAGTCCAATATCAAGGTGTATTATATTTTGTTGATGTATGCAGGAGCTCGTGGGCTTCGATCCGGACCCTGACGCCTGTTTATTTGGAGTTTGCATACTCTTTGGTTATTTCGGTAAAGTCACGTAGGTATAAAATAAAATTGATTAAATCACGACGTTTCAGGCAGCAACACAAGCGTCCCGTCATCAGGTGGGACAACCACAGCAAGAAACAATTCTGCCCACTTCAGCAGTTGTTTCTTGCTGTGGTTGTCCCACCTGATTACAATTCTGCCCACTTCAGCAGTTGATTTAGTAATATAAAATGTGCCATGTTCATTGATGGTAGTGGCTACTTATTAAAAATGTGTACTCCAAAAAAAACACGAGGTTAAACAGAATTGTAAAGTAACATTCTCACACCATATACGTACCACCACCACCTTTTATGGTTGAATTCTGAATGTGGTAACATAATGTATACAGTATAATAACAATATTACTACGTGCCTATACTTTATCATGTACAGCGTTAATACCACGATTTGGTTTCGTCTTTAAAATATCTTCTACCTCACGAGTCCTGTACAGAATGTCAATAATGCTTCTTATTATGGTTCTCATTATTTACCCAACAAAGCCTCAGTCTCCAGAACTTTTCAGAAGAGGATTCTGGATATGCATATATTTGGCCGAAGGGGGGTAAAACACTCTTAGGCTCCGTACACAGAGAGATTCAATAATTAATTGCTGTGCTGCCATCTGTTGGCCAATTTACAGCTCAAGCCTACAACATTTGGTATTCCCAGACAGTCTCCCATCCAAGTAGTCGCCAGGCTAAGCCCTGGCGAGTACTTTCGCTTCCGAGAACTGACAATAATGGGTTACATTCAGGGTGATTTGGTCCTAGGCAATGTAATGTTTACGAAGCGAGATTTCACACGCAATTTTTTTTTCATGTGTCACATCGTTACATATGAATGATGGTCAGAATAGTTTTTTTTGTAACAAAATGCCTTTGTGTGTCCCGTTGTAAAACAGGCTGTGTACCGTTCTTTGTATGCACACCGTACAGCATAATCTGCACTAGCATGTAAATATATTCAGGAAAATTAACTCAATAAGTCATACATACATTCATATGTGTTGGATCTCAGGTTCACCTCCTTATCAACAATCAAAGTTTTGATACCAAGATAATAAAAAGGGTAACTTCAAATTAATGTTAAGCATGAGATACTTTATGTGTGTGTGTGCCTTAATAGCATGTTCTCGGCAAGTGTTAACCACAACTTATGTATGTGCGCACTCTCACACACACATACACAAAGGTCTCTCAGACTGTTGGGAGCAAGTTATGTTAGCGAGCACCTATTTAGGTCAGCACGGCGTTAGTGATCATGCTTACACAGCTCACCAAATGCTAATTTTAAGGCTAAGTTCACCGTGGGGAAGCCCAGGGACTGGTTCAACCACGACTTGCTCATTCATGCATCTATGTCTGCAATCGAGCTCAGGTAGCTGAGTTCGTAGTGCAAGTGTCTGAACCACTGCACCATCATCGCTCCACACTCGCACAAGCACACACACACGCGTGCGTGCACGTGCTCACGTACTCAAAAGTGTGCTCTTTGGTAGTGAGCATTACCTACAGATTGTATGGAAAACATTCTGGGGCCTAAGTCGTGTGTTGGAATGTTACTGAAAACAAACAAAAATGTATTATTTCTCTCCACCAATTTGACCCTTTTCCTGCCAAAATAGGCAGAGGCTGCCGTGCCACCGCTGCGCGAGGCGGACCTTCTGTGTGCGCAACCTTTACGTCAGGTGAAACATTGTGCTCACTTTTCAGCGATTGTGTTGTTTTTTTCTTTTTTTTACAAAAATGTGCCGCATTGAATGTCATTTAAACAGCAACAACAACAACAAAAATTCGCCTTCAATTTAATGGAAAAGAACGCAATGAATGCTTTTGTGCTTTAAACAATGGAATCGTTTCACGTAGTCTCATGATTGAATTAAGCGTGTGGTTCCGTTTCATACATGCCATCACGTACGGCGTCATCATCGCAACATGTGTGATACCATAATGTCACATCTATTGTGCTTCGCATTTTTATAAAGGTACTTGCTCGGTTTTTACTTCATCTTGCATTCAAGTATAATGGATTGAACCCGAAATATAAAAAAACCAGGCTATAAAAGCCCTATGGTGTATGCCAGATGCTAAGTTCAACGAAGGCAATCGTGTTCATGTAAAATCCTCCCACTTACCCGAAATAAGATTTCCATGAGTGTGCGCCTAATGGCATGTTTTTATAAAAGTGTATGTAAGCACATTCCAGCGAGAAAAGAAAACACGTTGAAAAACAATGAGGGAACTCGCTGTCCATCGTATGGGGGGGAGTTTTGGTCATTTGACCCCTGCGGTTGTTTGAAAGACCCAGTTCATTTTAAAAAAGCCAATTTAACACTACCACTCTTCGAAGTGGACAGCATGACGTTGATAAACATTTTCGTAATGATTTTAGAAATACTGCTGAATTATTATTGTTTGGCGTGCGTTCACAGATATCCCTTGTGTCATGTTTATATTGCAAAATCCCACTCTAATTAAGTCACTGCCTGGTTTAATCATTAACCGTGGGAGCTTTTAGTCTGCATGCAGTGTCTCTATGTGTATAACCTCTGCAAACTACACAGTGCAGGGTTTGAGTTGATAGTCACAACCCATGCCTGCATGGTCACAAACTAAGCTTGTTCCTTTATAATCTTCTTCAACTCAAGTTACCGCTTTATTTGTATGACATTGCTTGTTTACCATGGAAAGCCTCAGATACCCACGACTCCTTTTTCCGGAGCGTACTGCCAAGTTTCCACAGTAGTGAGCCATGATAGAAATGTATAATCCCAATTGTGTTATTTGCAGGTATTTTTTTCTTCAAATTGTAATGCTTTTTTTTTTCAAATATGAAAAATTTGGACAGACAATCTCCTGCTCTTGCAAATGCGTCACAGGATCTTTAACGTCCATTGCACCTTTACGGTGCATACACCCGCAGTAATAACCAGGGGCGGCCACTCATTTCGAACCGTGAACCTCTGCAACAAGCAGTAAATGCGCTACCTCTGGGCCGTGCCACTGCCTTAAGCTTTCATCCATGCTTTTTTAGTACGGGCTAAGCTTAGTTTTTATTATTAATGTAGAAAAATTATAAAACTAATCCCGAAAGGCAGTGTTTTATGCACTGTACCTGGCAACCTAAGTTCAATCCCAGCAACGGCTAACGTCCGAGGGGAGATATCTCTGAACCGGTCCTGGGCTGTCACTTCCCCAACCCGCACTGACCAACGTGGCAGGCCTTCATCTATCGGTGGAATGATAATGGACTATAGATAAGATGAAAATCTATATTTTCCACGACCACACTTTGTTTGATTTTGTAGCCTATGCAGTCAAATGCAGTGAAGCATTTTATTTACATTAAAGTAACCTACAAAACAACACATGTAATGCATTCATTCAATGAACAGTTAAACTGCGTAGACATGCATTAGATTGCGGTAATTGTTGGAAATAGCATTGGGAGTGCCATCGTGAATACAAACATTGTTATGAAATAATTAGTAAACTAATTTTGTTTACAAAAGTGCAATTATTTTGATTTCAATTAAAATAAATAAATGAACCCAACGACAAACACATTGTGGAGTGCAGAAGCACAGACGCATGGTTGCATAACTGTGCGTAAGGCTACAAGACTTTCTCACGGTCAGCCTTGCTCGTAGACACGTCCACGACTGTTCGACACACACGGTGCAGCCTATTGTATTTTTATGACATTATTTAACAATATACTTTATGCATACTCTGTATGCGTGCGGAATTAAACAAAGAAAGTACCTCCATTCAATGTATCTACGACTGATTCGGTCATTGGGGTGTAGCAGCGGCCCATTTGATCAACGTACTGGGCTAATAGCCCAGCAGAGCTGAGTTTGATTCACAGACATGGCTCACGTCAGCGGCGAGTGACATCTGAACGGGTCATGCGCCTCGGTTCTTTAGTAGCTTGCACTTGGCGAGCATGGGAAAGTCTGGGTCAAATGACCCCCCATAACCAACACCGGCAGGAGATTGACAAAGGGTTGTGTACAACATTATGCATATATTAATTTATTATATCGGTCCTTGGGTCCACAATACAGCCACCGATTCGATATCTACTTATAGCTTGTGTGCAATGGGTTCCTGTGACTTCCGGTGGTATAGGAAGTCGCTAAATTCACCAAAATAGGAAAATAAGAATACATTATTGAATCAAACTTTGACTCCAAATCATGACAATTAATCTGATTGAGAAGGCAGCGAAACGTGACAAAGTACTTTACATATGGCGCACATTCACACAGTGGATACTTAGCCTGTTAAGTGGATTAATCAACTGAAAACTGCAATCGACTATTTTGCCGTAACGGATTACTCGAGCCCATTTTAAAATAGCGGCCGGCCCCACTCATCCTTCTTCCTGAAGGCAGGAAACCCCCTACTACTACAAGCCACACTCGGTGCGACGCAACTAATGATGCCAGTGCCATCGTTAAGCCCTCACCCATCACCTTCTGTCTAGTGGCACACGTGGGAAAAAGATGTGATACTTTTTATCCCCTCCAAAGTTTTCTGTCGTCCGATTATTCAAGTAATCCAACCGATACAACACGGTGAAGTCATTGATGACATTACTCAAGTAATCAGATAGGCGAGCTCCAACTCTATTCAAATCTATTTCAATCGATTCACTGTGGCAGGTTTAACACACCTCCCGCGTACACACCCATGCGTGTGTGCGTATTAAAAGTGACTTGACAAATATGCGATGGAGGTTTTGTTAGTTCTTTTTAGGTGCTTATATCTGCTGTCATGAACTTGTGTAAACAAACTAATAAATGGCTCAGTCCTGGTGAAACTTGAAAACCATTTATGGGCATTATGTGTGAAGCTCATGAAAGCCCTTCTATAAAACCTCCACATAAATTACTCTTGCAAGGGCAAAGCAATATACACGGTGTTCCGAATGAAGCAAAAAATTGCCCAACATAGGGAATAGTCGAGATTGTGATAAATTGTTGTCGTCATCGGTTTGACAGCCCCGTGCTGAATTATGATGAAGAATATGCACCTTCAACTCCGGTAGGACTTAGTTCAACATTTCTGGTGCTATTTTTTGCACAGACCGTTCGTTTCCATGCTGTTTTAAGGTTACGTTATCTTTCTGGCACTGGCCTGCGTTGGTATTGGCTGCCTCCCTTGGTGGTATTTTGCATTGTTACTACAACAAAGGTACACGCTAAATGACGATAGTTCCTGTTAAATACAGTAGAACGCCTCATATTCACGGCCTCGTAATCCTCAACGCTTTATTATCCCAGCGGCCTGTAATATTCACTCCCAATTATCCATGCCACCTATTCTTTCTAATAAATGCGATTATCCATGTCTATCCCAGATTACCGAATGGCTTCCTATTACAATATCTGCGAAATTTTTTTCGCAGATAAGTGGAGGCGGGTGCAAATTCATCATATCTCACAATAATTATCCGTGAGATTTTTTGTTCTTGGATTAGTCGAGTGAACTCGTGAATAACCCCAAAGGGTAACAGGATCTGTGATGTTCGTCCCCCACATCTCCTTGGATAAGAGAGCTCTGTTGTACCATTACGATTTTTTTTGGGGGGGGGTAGGTGGGGTGGGAGGTTTTGGGAGGTCATTCCAATATAAATAATGAGTTAATGAGTCCTTGGAGAATAAGCACCTTGGTGCTGAGTACGAGTTGGTGATGTGCTACAATCGGAATGTGAGCCATGCAGTGTGCACAACATTGCGTAACCTGAACGCAAAGAGTTAACAAAGAGACTGTAGTAGCACCTGCAGCCCGTGGCCTATTTTATAGTTTGTCGGGTGGCATCATCCGCATTAATAGTTTTGGAGATGTTAAGTGCCACGCTGCATTGGGGAAATCTGAATATAAGTACAAGTTGTGTATCTGAAAACATTTGTTATGCAATGTCACATCCTGTCCGTGACAATTACACTATTTTTAATTCGCAATTGTGTGAGCCGCATCTGACCAAATCACCCAGAATAGGTCCGATGTCATCATATCTCGGAAGCTAAGCAGGATTTGAGTGTGCCGAGTGCTCGGATAGGTGATAACCATGCACAAAGATAGGTGTCAACGGCGTTTTACAAGTAAGGGCAGTGCAGGAAATGTATTATCGTTCTACCCCCCCCCCCCCCACTAGCTCTCCAATGTACTGACTAGTGTGATGAACTATTGTCAACTAATCCCAACGATCAACACAGCGTAGGGGGAGGCCTTCATTTAGCACCGCAAAGTTACAAAAGCGCACAATTGTAGTTACAAAAGCGCACAATTGTGCAACCTCAACTGCCCCGCAAGAGTCTCGTGCTCCTGCCACGAATGAGCAGAGTACAGGTACACAGGTGCACGCCTGGATGTCACAGCCTCGACTGGTAAAAGCCACCATAAACGCGTCGCGACCGGAACAGTGGAAACTAGAAAAAAAGGTCGCTGCTTCAATATGCATGCAATTACCATAAATTACAAATTCAACACAGTACACATTGAGCATATACTAATGTAACGTATACATGAGCTTTAACTTGAATGCAGAAAAAAAGTTAAATGTTGTATGGGTTTACTAAACGTACTTACATTTAATTTCTATAACGACAATCGTTTAGGAGTTGAGCTATTGCGAGGCGTGCTTATTGTTTGTAATGCAGGCGTGGGGAATTTTAAC